GACTTTCCACACTGATCAAATGCAACCTAATTTGGAAGCAGTGGGTATCTCTGTGCTTCCTTTGACATGGTCTGAGCATAGTGAGGTTTGTGGAGGGATGGTTCGAATGGCTCCCTTCCTCTCCGGGACTGAGGGATCCGGGTGGATTCCTGACAGCCGACTGACCTGTGGGTGAAGGGCGTGGCTGTGGCAACTGAAACAGCCGCTCCTCACAAGTCGCTTTGTCTCCCTGGGTCACTGAGGAGTTAGGGGAAGATGGCTGGTATGCCGATGGAGGGGACACCCCCTGTGGATTTGGCCAACACACAGCCTAGAGCACAAGTCTGTGCGTATTCTGGGGCAACGGTAGGCGGTGGAGCACACGTCTTCCTCTGCTGCCACTGCACTGGAGCAATGCCGGCCAGTGGAGCTATTCTTCCCCCTGTGGATTTGGCCAACACACAGCCTAGAGCACAAGTCTGTGCGTATTCTGGGGCAACGGTAGGCGGTGGAGCACACGTCTTCCTCTGCTGCCACTGCACTGGAGCAATGCCGGCCAGTGGAGCTATTCTGGGTGGGGCGGGAGTTCTTGCATTGGGCCCTGGGTGATTTAAATTTGGATAATTCAGTGCCCTACTGTGACTTTATGAGTGAAAACCACTGGTGTCCAACCTAGTTTGGAACATAAACTGCCTTGGCAGCCGTGACTGGTGAGACAGGGTGAGTTCAACTCTGCTGATTCTCCTGAACCTCTCAACAGTATCTTTCCTGAACATTTGGTTGAGGTGGGGAAGCCCATGGCTTCATTCCTGTCTGGCTCACTGTTTCTGCAAGGTGGTGCTAGGAACAACTGTTTGACCCCATGGCCTCTGACATATGGGCCCCCCTTCAAGGTTCTGTTCTGTTCGTCATGCTGTTTCTCATCTATATGAGACTCTGGGAGAGGTTGTCCAGGAGGGGGTTGGAGGAGGTGCTCCCATTATGCAGCTGGCACACGGCTCCTCTCCCTTCAGTCTGTGTCAGGTGAGGCCATGGCCGTTCTGAACCTGCAGTTGGACTGGGAGAGGATCAGTCAGCTGAAGCTCAGGCCCCGTTGCATTTGCGGAAACATTCTGTTCTGGTTGGGGTCACACTCCTGATGGAGCAGGTATTGGGATGTGCTGTTAGATCCAGATCTTCAGATGGAGGTACACCTCTCCTCTGTTGTATGTAATGCCTTTAACGCCAGCCGCAGCCCTTACTTGAGAAGCATGATCTGGCCAGAATTATCTATGCTCTGATCGTAACAGCCTGGACTACTTCAATACGTGCTACATGGGCTTGCCTCTGAAGACTGTTTAGAAGCTTCAGCTTGTTCAGAAAGGTATACAGAGGCAAGGTGTAGAGGTCCAGTCACCCCAGTCCTTTGGTGGTTGCCAGTTTGCTTTTGTGCGCAAGTCAACGTACTGGTACTTACCTTTGCACCCTTATACAGGATTAGTCCCTGAAGGGTCGCTTGAATGCAGCCCTTACACATGTCAGGTGGGAGAACACCAAAGAAGAGGCCTTTTCTGTTAGGGTGCCATAGTTTTGGAACTCCCCCCCGCCCCCCACGGCCGACTGCCACCTGGCACTGGATCTCTTGCCTTTGAGGATTTATTCCGCCAAGCACTCGTTCCACCCTCCCCACTTTCAGACTTTTCACCCTGCCTTTTGAGGGTGAATTTACTGGCTGTGCTGATCATATTTTTTTGTTGTTGCCTTACAGTTGTTCTTTTGGGCTTTTTTTTTTGTTAATTTTTTTTACCTGCTCTGTTCTTTTATTTTAGGCTTACGCTAATTTATTAATTTTATGCATTTATGGTTTGCTTTTCTCACTGAGACTCAAGGCAAATTTCAAAATACAGAAATAATAATCCAGTCTAACAGCACAAGACATCCGATAAGCGATGCAACAGGGTTAGGTTTGGTGACAGAAAGTGCTCTCAAGCTGTGGCGACCCCGTGAGGTTTTCGGGGCCGGAGGTCTTCAGGGGCCTGTGCCCAGCGACCGTGGGCTCCCTTGGTGGTCTCCCGTGCCCGTACTGGCCTGGGCTGACCCTGCTTGGCTTCCGACGAGGTCTGGCTAGCCTGGGCTGTCCAGGTCAGGGTGGGATAAGGGTTACAGGACTGGGAAACAATGCAAACAAAACATTGCCTAATAATACAGAACCATACAGAAAGCGAATATTACAAAGGCAAAAGACAGTGCGGTCAAAGCAGAGAGATTGATATGTTCTGCTTTTGAGGCTGTAAGTTTTCTGTTAGTTTTTGTTTTAGCTTTGCAGACTTAAAAAAAAATTATTGCATGCTGCTTCAGGAGGATTTTAAGGACTATTTAGAAAAGTATTGGGGTGTGAAAGACAATTTGATTTGCTTTGAAAACTATTAAGTTGATTTAAAAGAGAAAGGAAATGGACTAATAATGATAAATATGTGAATATTAGTTACCTAGAGTTATATGATTAAAAATTAGAAACGCATGAAAATTTAATATTTGAGCTGGTGGTGGAAACGCTGTCGGAAGCCTATGAAAGGGAGGGGAATAAGAGGGAAAGGATATATATTGAAGCTGATATATGTGTAATGTGTAGTATCCTAATAAAAGTTGTTTTTTTTAAAAAAAGGAATGTCACCTTAATGGAACAGAGTAGAGATACTTTAAATAAATAGGGGCCCCAGTATTTTTAAAATCTAAAGTGACACCCTAAGGCCTGACCAAGAACTCTCTTGGCTGTAGCTTATAGGGAGTCCCCTATCAGAAGAGATGCTCTTGGGAAGACCGCTGGCCTTTCAGGGCTCACAGCTGGGCATCTCAGGGCCATCGACAGTGTCCAGAAACTGATAATCAAGGGACTGTGTCTTTCTTGGGCTTTATATTAGTGGTGAATAATGCAGGGAGTCAGAAGGCATGACAAAGCAAAGAGTTCTACAGTCTTATATATTTAGAACAACAGCAGCAGCAACATCTGGCTAACCAGTGACTGGATTTCCACTCTGGAGCAATGTCTTCCAGTCCTGCTACTCATTATTCTGCAATGGGATCATCCACAGTTGGCAATTTTATGGGAAGTCTGGTGGTGCTATGTCACTGAATGGCCAGGGTAGGTTTCAGCAATGGAATAGGACTCCAGTTGGCAGTTTTCATCGCTGTCCCGAAAGCCTAACTGATCTCCCCACCGTGCCAGAAACTGGCTGGTGTTGAGTGTCAGCCAGACACCTCTCCCCCCCCCCCCCATCCTGCCCCGCTGCAGACATTTCCTGCAGCTGGCAAAGGTGAGGCAGCAGTTTGAAAGGCTTTCCTTGCAGGCAATCGCATGAGCTGGGAAAGGGCTCAGAGTCATCTCTTTTGTGCTCTGGGCCAGGAGACGGGCACGTGAAGATTGGGCCTGCAGATCTCCAAGTGTACAGCGGCCGAAATCCCATGTTCTCACTGTTCAGAAACTGCTGTGCAAAATCCAACCTGCCAAACATCACATGTTACCTACTTGTAACACCCCCCACCCCCCACTGCCCACAGCGGCTGGAGCTCATCCTTTGTACGTGAGTCGTGTAAGAGACATTTCTGTTCTGTTTGAGAAGTGACATAAACAGAGCTTACCTTGGTAATGAGCTTGCTGCCTGGCAGGTCTAGGCCTCTTCGGCCCCAGGAGTGTGTGTCTGGTTCCCCCCCCCCACTACTATGTTAGGTTATTGCTGCAGGGACAGGGACAGGGACAGTGGAGGAGTCCAAAGAGAAGCAGCACTGGGTCTGCTCTGAGCAGACCACTGCCTGGCTTTTCACTTAAGTCTTTTGAAAACACGGTCAGTTATTCTACCTGGAAAAGAGAACGGTACACAAGTTTACTCTGTTTTAATAGCAGCAACATGATCTTGGATACCTGTTTTGGGCCCATGGCAGAAGTTATGGTGGTTTTTGTGGGATGCGCAAGCCATCTGTGGTACGGTAACTTATCTGAACCACAAAAGAGCATTTTCCTGATTCCAAGCTAGGCAGGAAAATACCGTTAGTAGTTATTAAAACAAAGAAAGAGATTTTATTGCATAAGTAGCCTGCTTGTCAGACCCCCTCCCCCAATTTGCTTAATGGGATTCGGTCCATGTGTGTTTCTTCCCCTTCAGCAAAGTAACAGATCAAGGTGTCAGTGGGATGGAGTTAAAGGAGGGGGGCTTCATTTCCTTCCAGGTCCTCTCCCAAACCTGGTTCTGTTTTTCTGCCTCCCTGTCTTCCAGTTCTTATTTAGAAGACACCATTTAGGGACACCTGATGTTTTTGTGGGTAGGGGAAACACACATGCAAGTTTGCCCGTGGCAGATTGGAATCTTCCTGGACCACACGTGGGAAGGAGGGATCTCTCTGCATCCCAGCCAGAGTGAGGTGCATTTGCAAATAACAGTTTGAGATTTTGTCTCCTGAATTCCTTTTGACTCCTTAGAGTCAGGAAGGATCCCCGCCCCTTCCTTTGCAGTATCCAGAACAGAAAACTACTATAGACGTCACTTAATAAATTCTT